TTTGGCATCCATCAACAGCAGAGGCTTGTCTTCCTTCCATCTGAATATCTGGGAAGACAATGCCATTCAGAGAGCCCAAAGACAGCATGGGGCAGCTGAGATAGCATAAACTGTCAGTGTTTCATTTTTAGGCAAAAAGTGAGGCAGAAGAAGATACATCTCCCCCAAGTTCTTCAAAGCCTACAAGAGGCAGAGAGAAGATACAAATTTCTATATCCCAAGGCTTGGGGACGCTAAGGATTAAAGCCAGTGGTCTGCCAGAAGTCACTGTAAGGGGATCACCTAGAACTGGGGGCTAGGTGGCAGAAGGACATCCTCCCCAAGAGGGCTGAAGGGAGGCAAATCAAGGGCATGATAGAGTGATGGGGTAGGGAAGGAGGATCAGGTATTGGGGAAGAGAAAGGACAATCACAGGTCCTTAACAGTGTTTGCCCAGAGAGGAGACTGAAAGTCACACTGTCCAGGCACTCAAAGAGCACTTGCAGTAAGGGTGGGACAAGACACCCCTCACCTGTGGTCCGTGGGAACCAGCATCCTGCCCCCCAGTGCCATTACATTCTGAAAACTGTCCCATCCCCCAGAGATCCTGAGAAGGGAGGGAATGGAAGAAATCTTGAGAAATGAGGGCAAGAGTTCACACTTTGTAATGATAAAACAGCCAACTCTGACTGGATGTTTACCAAAAGGCACTCAGTTTTATGCTGAAAGTGACTAAGCTCCCTATAATTGACAAGATTAAGTGTTTTCACTGTCACTGGAAATGGGATCTCACAGCAAGTGGAGCTCAGTCTAAAGTAATAAAGTAATATTTCTATATAACGGAGATGTGATTGAATTTTGTAGCACCTACACAGAACTTATCCCACATTCTCTCACCTGCAGATGAATTGTATATGTTTATTTTACTATCTTTTCTCTCTTTGCTATGCATAACACCAGATTTTTATAATGTTGGGTTAACATTTAACTGTCTAACCAGTTCTTTTTTTCACTTAGTCAAGAACTGTGAACATTTTTTCAAGTCACCAAATATTTTCCCTTAGTGTAATTTTTTTAAAGACTTAATTTTTTAGAATAATTTTAGGTTCACAGCAAAATTGAGAGGGGCTTTCCTATAACCTCCTTGCCCCCACACATGCACAGCCCTGTTATCAACATCCTCCTACCAGTGTGGTACATTTGTTACAATTGATGGATATACATTGACAGCTCATAATCACCTAAAATCAATAGTTTATCTTAGGGTTCACACGATGTTGTGCATTCTATGGGTCTGGACAAGTGTATAATGACATGTATCCATCATTAGAGTATTATACAGAATATCTTCACTGCCCTAAAAGTCCTCTGTGCTCCACCTATTCATCTCTCCCTGCAGCCCAACCCCTGGCAACCCCTGATCTTCTTACTGTATCTATAGTTTTGCCTTTTCCAGAATGTCATATAGTTGAAATTACACAGTATGTAGCCTTTTCAGATTGGCTTCTTTAACATGGTAATATGCATTTAAGGTTCCTCCACCATCTTTTGATGGCTTGGTAGCTCACTATATTTTAGCACTGAGTAATATTTTATTGTCTGGATGTACCACAGTTTATTTATCCATTTACCTACTGAAGGACATCTTGACTGCTTCTAAGTTTGGGCAATTATGAATAAAGTTGCCATAAGCACCCATGTGCAGGTTTTTGTGTGGGCATATGTTTTCAATTCCTTTAGGTAAATACCAAAAAGTATGATTGCTGGATAGTATAGTCAGAAGAGGTTTAGTTTTGTAAGAAAATGCCAAACTGTTCTTCTAAAGGGGCTGCACCATTTTGCATTTCCCCCAGGAATGAATGAGAGTTCCTATTGCTCCACATCTTTGTCAGCATTTGGTGTTGTTAATTTTGGCCATTCTAATAGATATATAGTGATATTTCATTGTTGTTTTAATTTGCATTTTCCTGATGACATATGTGAAGCATCTTTTCATATTCTTACTTGTCATCTGTATATCTTCTTTGGTGAGGTATCTGTTAAATTCTTTGGCCAATTTTTTAAAAATTGGGTTGTTTGTTTTCCTAGTGTTTTAAGAGTTCTTTGTATATTTTGAATAGCAGTCCTTTATCAGATGTGTCCTTTGTAAATATTTTCGCCCAGTCTGTGGCTCATTCACTTAACATCATTGTTCATAGATGACCATGTTCATGAGAACATCATTGTTCAGCAGAAGTTTTTAATGTTAGTGGAATCCAGCTTATCAATTATTTCTTTCATGGATTGTTCCTTTGATGTTGTATCTAAAAAGTCATCACCACACCCAACATCATCTAGGTTTTCTCCTGTGTTATCTTCTAGGAGTTTTATAATTTTGCATTTAACATTTAGGTCTATGATCCATTTTGCATTAATTTTTGTGAAGAGTGTCAAGTGTGTCTAGATTCATTATTTTGCATTTGGATGTGTAGTTGTTTCAAGTACCATTTGTCAAAAAGACTATCTTTGCTCCATTGTGTTGCCTTTGCACCTTTGTCAAAGATTAGTTTAATCACCTTTACATGGGTTTATTTCCAAGTTCTCTATTCTGTTCCACTGATCTATTTGTCTGTTCTTTTGCCAATATCACACTGTGTTAATTGCTACAGCTTTATAGTAAGACTTGAAGTTGGGTAATGTTAGTCCTCCAACTTTGTCTTCTCCTTCAATATTGTGTTGGCTATTCCGGGTCTTTTCCCCCTGCATATAAACTTTGGAATCAGTTTGTTGATATCCACAAAATAACTTGTTGGGATTTTGATTGGAATTGCATCTAATCTATAGATCAAATTGGGAAGACCTGACATCTTGGCAATATTGAGTCTTCCTATCCATGAACACAGAATATCTCTTCATTTATTTAGTTCTCTGATTTCATTCATCAAGAGTTTTGTAGTTTTCCTCATACAAATCTTTTACATATTTTGTTAGATTTATATCTAAGTATTTCATTTTTGGGAAACTACCATAAATGGCACTGTGTTTTTAATTTTAAATTCCATTGTTCATTGATGGCTCTCAGTATAATTTTTTCAAATTTTATTTTGTTATGTTATGTTTTGTTTTTTTTTTTAAGATTTTATTTATTTGACAGTGAGAGATACAGCGAGAGAGGGAACACAAGCAGGGGGAGTGGGAGAGGGAGAAGCAGGCTTCCCACTGAGCAGGGAGCCCGATGCGGGGCTCGATCCCAGGACCCCGGGATCATGACCTGAGCCGAAGGCAGACGCTTAACGACTGAGCCACCCAGGTGCCCCTTGTTATGTTATGTTAATCACCATACAATTTTTAACAGCAGCATTGTAATTGATCATATGGCTGTTTGGTAACTTAATTAACTAACCTCTTTCTTTTAAACAATATTTAGATTGTTTCTTGTTTTCTGCCTTTTTAAATACCAATAAGATAATGAACAATTCTATACATATATCTTTAAATGTTCCTAAGAAAATTTCTTTAGAATAAATTCCTTAAATTGGAATTTCTGGATCAAAAATTATGCTACTTTAAAGGTTTTTGATACATCTGGCCAAATTGACCTTGAGGAATGTTAACACTTTAAATTTCAACTGACAGTGTGTAAGAGTGCCTCTTTCTTTACATCCTCAGCAGTGCTGGGTATTACAGTGTTTAAATTCTCTTTTGAAAAAATATTTTTGATTGAAAAAATTATGTTATTTTAGTTTGTAATTATATCATCACTAGGGAAATGATACAGTAAACCCCTTTCTTGAGGATACCAATAATTTGCCATATGCTGTCAATATTTTCCCTACTTTGGTATTTTTTTTTTTTAAAGATTTTATATATTTATTTGACAGAGAGACACAGCGAGAGAGGGAACACAAGCGGGGGGAGTGGGAGAGGGAGAATCAGGCTCCCCATGTAGCAGGGAGCCTGATGTGGGGCTCGATCCCAGGACCCTGGGATCATGACCTGAGCCGAAGGCAGACGCTTAACGACTGAGCCACCCAGGCGCCCCTCAAATAACTTTCTTCTTACCCAATTTCTTTTTTGCCTGTCATTCAACAGCAGACAGACTGGATTATCTGTCAGGAGAAACAGTCCTGAATTAATCGCATTCACAGTTGGTGTTTTCTTTTAAGATTTATTTATTTATTTGAGAGAGAGTGTGTGTAAGTGTGAGCAGGGGGAGGGGCAGAGGGAGAGGGAGAGAGAGAGCATCCTTGAGCAGACTCCCTGCTGAGCAGGGAGCCTGATGCAGGACTTGATCCCAGGACCCTGAGATCATGACGTGAGCCAAAATCAAGAATCTGCTGCTTAACTGACGAGCCCCTCCATGCCCCCCTTTCATGTTTGAAGTGCTCTTACCAGTATCTGTAAGAGAAAAATCAATTTGATTAATCAACTGGAATTCTTTTTTTTTTTTTTTTGGTGCCAATTTTAAAAAGTTTTATCTAAGACACTGCATTTTCCACTTAACAATACAGTGCTTATAAAGTGCAATGTTATTTCCTTTCCCTGTGCATATATTCCATACCTGAGTATCAAGAATGCCCAGTGTATTTACTATAGCAGCTTGACTTTAAAACTACCATGAAATTTGCACAAACCTGGGTCCTTCGAATATTTTGTGTAGAACAAATGCTAGACCTGTTTTCAGGTTGGCTTAATCAACCTCTTCAATGGTGGGCCCAGTGGAGGCACCACCAGATAGAGGAGTTCCACCACCAGGGAAGCCCCCAGGCATTCCTCCTGCACTGTGGTACAGCTTGGTAATGATGGGGTTGCAGACTTTCTCCAGCTCTTTCTGCTGACTTTCAACTTCTTCCTTCTCTGCAGTCTGGTTCTTATCAGGCCAGCTGATGATTTCATTATACTTGTCAAGAATCTTCTGTTTATCCTCATCATTGATTTTGCCCTGAAGATTTCATCTTCAGCAGTTGCTTTCATGTTGAATGCGTAAGATTCAAGCAAGTTTGAACTAACAGGCGTACCTTTTGCCTCCCTCTCTCCCTTAGGGATTCCCATGGCATTCCTTAGATTGAAGTCGCTTTTGATGATGCTAATCCATCTTCAATGTCTCTGCTGTAGATAAGAGTACAGGAAAAGAGAACAAGATTACATCACTACAGACAAGAGCCACTTGAGCAAGGAAGACATTGAGCGCATGCTCCAGGAAGCTGAGAAGTACAAAGCTGAAGATGAGAAGCAGTGGAACAAGGTGCCTTCCAAGAATTCACTTGAATCTTATGGAGTTCTTTATTGTTTGTTTTAAATAAATGATGCCTAGACAATGATAGGTACTGAATTTTGTTTGCTGAATGAAGTCACAAGTGCTATAACTTAAAACATTTGACAAGATTCCACCTCCAAGGCTGTTAAAAGTCAAAACAATGGCTAAAACAACCCAGTTACCAGGGAGATGTAATTTTTGCAGAGAGAGTTGAATAACAAGAACCACAGCCATGTGGTAAATGCTCTTCTTCTGGCAAAATCAATCATGTGGTGACTGTCCAGCATGAGTGCATAATACCAACATTATTTACCATGCCTATCAAAAAAAGAGTGCAAGGTGAAAGTAAAAATGTGAAGATGGCGTTAAACTCTTTATTGTTCTACACTACAGCATGACGTTGCACAACAAAATGCACATAGATTCCATAAACTCTGTGAGAAAGTAGGACATTTGCAATGTGCACAAGCACAGAACAGTGAATCCCTACGGGAGAGAGGGAGAAATAACCTCAAGTAATATACTCAAGACCTAGAAAAGGGTTAAAGGAGTCATTATAAATTCAAGATATTGGTAAATGCTAGCCATAATTCATGAAGAAGGTTGAAAGGAACAGACTGGTCCTTTCTTTGAGGTTTTCTTATATCACATTAGCAAAGACTACCTTCTACCATCTGTTTCAACATTTGTTTCAACATTTTGCAACAACTTGATAGTATTTTTTTTCTTAAATAGCTTTATTGAGATACAATTCTTACATACCACATAATGCATACATTTATAGTGTACAGTTCAGTGGGTCTTAGTATATTCAGATTGTGTGATCACTAGCACCATTTAATTCCAGAACATTTTCATCACCCCTCAAAAAAGCTACTTGTTAGCAGTTGCTCCCCATTCTCCCCTCCCCACAAGACAACCAATAATTTACTTTCTACCTCTATAAATTTGTCTATTCTGGACATTTCACAAAAAAGGACTCATACTGTATGTGATCTTTTGTGATTGGCTTCTTTCACTTAGCATAACATTTTCAAGATTCGTCCTGTTGTAGCGTGTATCAGTATTTTATTTCTTTTTATTGCTGAGCAATATTCCGTTGTATGGACATACCACATTTTGTTTATCCTTCTATAAGTTGGTAAGTAGACACTTGGGTTGTTTTCACTTTTATAAATGCTGCTGCCATGAACATTTGTGTACAAGTTTTTGTGTGGAGATATGTTTGCCTTTCTCTTGGGCATATACCTAGGAGTAGAATGACTGGGTCATATAGCAACTCTATGTCAACTTTTTTTTTTTTAAAAAGATTTATTTATTTATTTGAGAGAGCGAGAATGAGAGAGAGTACATGAGAGGGGGGAGGGTCAGAGGGAGAAGCAGACTCCCCGCCGAGCAGGGAGCCCGATGTGGGACTCGATCCAGGGACTCCAGAATCATGACCTGAGCTGAAGGCAGTCGCTTAACTAACTGAGCCACCCAGGTGCCCTCAACTTTTTTTTTTTTAAGATTTATTTATTTATTTGAGAGAGAGAGAGAGAGAAAGGACCAAGGGAGAGGGAGAGAATCCCAAGCAGACTCCAAGCTGAGTGCGGAGCCCAACATGGGGCTCGATCTCATGACCCTGAGATCATGACCTGAGCCAAAACCAAGAGTCAGATGCTTAACCGACTGAGCCACCCAGGCACACCCCCGTTTTTGTTTTTGTTTTTTAATTGTAGTACAGTTGACATACAATGTTATATTAGTTTCAGGTGTACACCATAGGGATTTGATAATTCTATACATTACACAATGCTCACCATGTTAAGTGTAGTTACCCTGTATTATTGTTATTACAATATCATTGACTATATTCCTGATACTATACTTTTCATCTCCATGACTTCTTTATTTTACGACTCGATGTTCATACCTCTTAATACCCTTCACCTATTTTGCCCATCTCTCCACTCACCCCACTCTGGCAATACGAGTTGGTTCTCTGTATTTATGGGTCTGTTTCTATGTTTGTTTGTTTTGTTTTTTAGATTCCACATATAAGTGAAATCATATATCTGACATTTCTTTGTCTGACTTCTTTTACTTAGCATGATACCCTCTAGGTCTATCCAGGCTGTTGCAAATGGCAAGATCTCATTCTTTTTTCTGGCTGAGTAATATTCCATTGTGTATATGTATATCATATCTTATTATTCCACTCATCTATCATTGGGCACTTAGGTTGCTTTTGTACCTTGGCTATTGCAAATAATGCTGCAATAAACATGGGGTGCATATATCTTTTCAAATTAGTGTTTTCTTTTTCTTTGGATAAATACCCAGCAGTAGAATTAGCAGGTCATATGGTATTTCTATTTTTAATTTTTTGAGGAATCTCCATACTGTTTCCATAGTACTGAACCAATTTACATTCCCACCAACAGTTCAAAGGGATTCCCTCTTCTTCACATCTTCCCCAACACTTGTCATTTTTTGTCTTTTTGATACTAGCCATTCTGACTGGTATGAAGTGATATCATTGTGGCTCTGATTTGCATAAAAGATGCTGAGCATCTTTTTATGTCTGTTGACTATCAGTATGTCTTCTTTGGAGAAATGCCTATTAACGGGGCCCTGGGTGGCTCAGTCGGTTGTCTGACTTTGGCTCGGGTCATGATCTCAGGATCCTGGGATGGAGCCCTGCATCAGGCTCCCTGCTCAGTGGGGAGTCTGCTTGTCCCTCTGCCCCCCCCCCACTCGTTCTCTCTCCCTGTCTCAAATAAATAAATAAAATATTTTTTAAAAAAGAAATGCCTATTAAGGTCCTCTGAGCATTTTTTTAAAGATTATTTATTTATTTATTTATTTGAGAGAGAGAGTGTGAGCATGAGTGGAGCGGAGGGGCAGAGGAAGAGGGAGAAGCAGGCTCCTCACTGAACAGGGAGCCCAACATGGGGCTCGATCCCAGTACCCTGAGATCATCACCTGAGCTGAAGGCAGATGCTTAACTGACTGAGCCACCCTGGTGCCCCTGAGCATTTTTTAATTAGGTGTTTTTTTTTGTTTGTTTGTTTGTTTTTTGGTGTTGAGCTATAGGAGTTGTTTATATATCTTGGATATTAACCCCTTATAGCTATGTCATTTGCAAATATCTTCCCCCATTTAGTAGGCTGCCTTTTTGTTTTCCTGAGGGTTTCCTTTGCTGCACAAAAGCTTTTTAGTTTGATGCTGTCCCTATAGTTTATTTTTGCTTTTGTTTCTTTTGCCTGAGGAGACAAATCTGGAAAAAATGTTGCTAAGGCTGATGTCCAGGAGATTACTGCCTATATTTTCTTTTAGGTGTTTTATGGTTTGGGGTCTTAAATTTAAGCCTTTAATCCATTTTGAATTTATTTTTATGTATGGTGTAAGAAAGTGGTCCAGTTTCATTCTTTTGTGTGCAGCTGTCCATTTTCAGTTTTTTTTAAACAATTTTTTTTTTTTTTAATCCTCACAAGAACCTTGGGAGTGAAGCTAGGCAACACTTGCCCCATTATTCTTTAGTGGATAAAGACATGAAATCAGGGAGATTATGTGATGTGTTTGCTCAGAGGTGTATAGGAATCCAGAAAGTCTGACTCTATTTTATTTCAACTTCACCTCTAGAATCAAACAAGGCTGATAAGCAAGCCTCCCTAACATTTTCTAAACTATTTCACTCAAACTTGATTCTAACCTAAAGTTACCTTTATGAGGAAAAAACCCCACTGAGCTCTTTGCTCAGTGGGATCTGGTATTCCATCCAATCTCCATATGTCAGTATATAAATTGACTAAAGTTAAAAAAAGAAAACAAAATATTTCCTCAGTGTTTGGGAATGGTGAACCAGAAAAGATTACCTACAACGTATGAAGAGGTAAAGTATACCTCTGCTTTTTGGTAAGAAAAGTTCAGAAATGATTGTGCTTTTTTTTTTTCTTTTTTAAAGAAAGGACTATGTTTAGTTAATGAAAATTTCACAAAACTTATCTTTGGCTAGATATTAAACATAAAAATATCCATTCATTCAAAACGATAATTTTTATAGAATTATACATAGTAAAAGCACATGGATCAGATTCTTCATCTGTTGCAAAAATTTTACAGCTTTAAACATTGCCCAAATGTGTGTAAGTGCTATATTTGGAACCATTTCATAATAATAATTTCTCACTTTTATCCAGCACTAATTGTGTAGGGTGTAGGAAAAAAACCTATATTCCTCCTCCTGTGTATCTCTTTTACTCTCACACTATTGTTACCTCACTCACAGCACTTCTGACACCAGATGTGTGGGGTTTTTCCCCCACCAGGCAGATCTGGGACACCAGCTGGGTGTCCTACAAGTTAACTCAATTCTGACACTATCTACCTCGAGGTAGCATCAAATTCCATAGATTCCCGTGACCTCCTCCCCCTTGGATTCATTTATTTGCTAGAACAGCTCACAGAACCCAGGAAGACACTTGCTTATGTTTACCAGTTTGTTAAAGGCTATGATAAATGATACAGAGGAGCATCTAGGTGGAAGAGACATGGAGGGAAAGGTATGTGGGAAAGGACATGGGGCTTCCATGTCTTCTCCCAGCACCTCTGTGTGTTCACCAGCCTGAAGTCTTTTACAGATTTTTGTGGAGGCTACGTCACGTTGGCATGATCCATCATTAACATCATCTTTAGACCTCTCCCTTCTCTAGAGACCGGAAGGTGGGCTGAGAATTCCAAGCTTCTAATTGTGGCTTGGTCTGCCGGTGACCAGCCCCCCTCCAGGCACCCGCTAAGAGTCACCTCATTAGAACAAAAGACACTGCCATCACCCAGGACATTTTAAGGGATGTGGGAACTCTATGTCAGGAACTGTGGTCAAAGACCAAATATTAGAACCCAAGATGCTCCTAATGCCCTTGTCACTTAGGAAATTGCAAGGGTTCTAGGAGTTCTGTGCCAGGAACTGCAGGCAGAGACCAATATATATATTTTCTATTATCTCACATGTACTAAGAACTATTATAAGTGGTGTTTATAAGTATTAAATTATCTAATTCTCACATAATGCTATGAGGTGAGCTCCATATAACATAACAGAATTTGATGTGACATGACATAATGTAATTAAACATAATATACCTTCATCTTACAGATGAGAAGACTGAGGCAGAGAGAATGAGTTTCTTGACCAAAGTCTCATAGCTTTTATGAACTAAGGTCAAGATTTGAACTTAGGCACTTACGTACTACCTTCTTTAGATCAAATGCTTTCATGTTAGGCACATGTTCTCAATTCAGATATCAGCCACTTCCCCCATACTTGTCGAAAGCAAATAGTGAGTTCACCAACACCGGGGCCTTAGCAAAGTTTGAAATCTTTCTTTAACATCTTTCCATTTCCCTTTTTTTTTTTAAAGTATTTATTTATTTATTTATTTGAGAGAGAGTGAGAGAGAGAGAGCATGAGAGGGGAGAGGGTCAGAGGGAGAAGCAGACTCCCCGCTGAGCAGGGAGCCCGATGCGGGACTCGATCCTGGGGCTCCAGGATCATGACCCGAGCCGAAGGCAGTTGCTTAACAAACTGAGCCACCCAGGTGCCCCAGCATCTTTCCATTTTCCTAAATATATCTGTAATTCCTTTCTTTTGTCTTCGTCCACACTTTTCTGTCCTCCCATGGGCTCCTGCTCAGACCCCCAGACCCAATCCAGGACAGCCCTTTTATCTAGCTGAACTGTTCCTTCTTTTTTCTGAATCTAAGTGGGTCCCCGTGTTGCCTCAGCTATTATGAGGAAAGCCCAGGAATATTTTATGCCTACAGAGGAACCTATTGATTAGGCCACAAAGTCTGGTCAGGATTTGAAGGTGACAAAGAACAATGAGTCCTAAGGTTGTTTTCCCTTTGGCTTATTCCAATTTAGCCAACAAACAATGCAAGGGATAGATAAGAAATGAAGGATGCAAAGGAGTGGCCTTGACTATCCACTACCTCCTCAGTTTCCTACATGGTGTATCTGAAATTTAATGGAATTTCCTGACTATAGTGAAAAAGCACTAGGTCAGAAGAGCCCAAACTCCGGGCTAACTTCCTTTGACATGTGTGGTAGGGAAAGGAGTCCCATCATGGCTCAAGGGCCCACAATTTTTGCCCACTAAGAAATGCTTGCTGTGCCATAGTCACTTAATTCTATGTTCCAGGTTTTGGGGCCTACAGAAAAATTTATCATAAAGCTAATGAAGTTTAATCTTCAAGGCTCTTCATTTCCCCAGGCCCCTGGGAGTGGCGGGAGTTGCTTGACGTTGTAGAGTGTTCTAGGTGGGAAAGGGAAGCCAGGCTGTAAAGGAAATATGTCTGTGTAGGCATTTCTGGTATATGTCCTAGAGACCTCAGACAAAAGGACTTGAACCTTTCAAGCTCCAGTGTTTTACTGTGATTTCTTTTCTCATTCTAAATAAATAGCCAGTTTGTACTCAATTTATAATTGTAAATTTGTTTAATTAATTAATTAATGTGTGTAGAGGGCTCATAAAATTGCATCAGCATAAGGCCACACCTGGAGCCTGCCTGGTCCTTCTTATCTTAGCTGAATTAAAAAAGAACGGAATTTGTTGGAAAGAGATGGGGGAGCTGGCAGCCTGTGTTGGATATTCTGCTTGACACTCCAGACCCCCTCTCCACACTTCTCTCCCCTAGTCTGTAGCTGAGAAGACTCTCCTCTTCGGATGCATCCCTGGGTCCCTTGCGATTTAGTCAGGGTCCACCCATGGGGACCCCCACAGGAGGTGGGATGACAGGAGGAAAGGGCTGATGCCCGTGGCTCCTTCTTTGGTCCCAGCTTGGCAGCAGGGTATGGGACCTGTGTAGTCAGTAGGCCCCCATGCTTGGCAGGGCCACGCACTTGACTTAATGCTTTGCTGACACAACTTGGAAATTCTTAATTTTATCTTTGAATGTGTGTTTTGTTAATGAAGTCTGATACACAAACAGAGGAGATACACACTGTATGTGTCAGCCAGTTCCAGCTGCCCCATTTGCATGTAGCATCTCCAGTGCCCCATGATAATAGGATTCCTGTGAATCTGTGGGAGTTCAGTGAGACTCAAGGCAAGATCAAGGTAAAGCATATCACATCTACGACTGATTAAACTCTAAAATGCCTCTTTCCACAATGGATCGTGGATCACCACATCAAAAACCACTGATGTATTGTATGGTGACTAACATAACATAATAAAATTAAAAATAAATAAATAAATAAATAAATAAATAAATAAATAAATAAATAAATAAAATGCCTCTTTCCATTTGAACCAAATTTGCTTCAAATTCAGAAGGCAATGACATTCTAAGAAACACGAACAACCAAAGAACTCTTTCATATTCTTTCCTACTCATGTTACTTCCCTGTATTAGCCAACCACTTATACTAAAAGTGATACCACAGAGAGAAAGGGAAAGATAGGGCAATCCACAGCCGCTTTTCCTTTTAGTTCCTCTTTACACATCAGTAAGCCAAAGGCAAAGAGCATTGGTACAATGTGTGTATATAAAGAAGTGAAATAAACAATTGAGTTAGTTTTGTGCAGTGTTTATACTGTTCTAGTAAGAAAAAAAATATGTATGCAGGAACTATAAAATACACATCGTATCATTTTGGTGATTTTGCATATGTGTTAAATGCTCCCATATTGCATCTAAAACTAACATTGCACATTGTAGGGGCATCTGGCTGGCTCAGTTGGAAGAGCATGTGACGCTTGATCTCTGGGTCATGAGTTCGAGCCCCATGTTGGGTGTAGAGATTACTTAAATACATAAAGAAATAAATAAACTTAAAAGACAAAACCAGGGCGCCTGGGTGGCTCAGTTGGTTAAGCGACTGCTTTCGGCTCAGGTCATGATCCTGGAGTCCCCGGATCGAGTCCCGCATCGGGCTCCCTGCTCAGCAGGGAGTCTGCTTCTCCCTCTGACTCTCCCCCCCTCATGTGCTCTCTCTCTCTCATTCTCTCTGTCTCAAAAAAAGACAAAACCAAACTAACATTGTACATTGTAAATGACAAGATTCATGATAATGATTTAAACTTCTCATTTTTGTCTTCATTTAGAATGGTGTTAAATTGAAACATTTAAAAACATGACCAGTCAAGAGAGAGGGAAGGGATACTGTGGAAGAAAAGCTAAAGCTTTATAATGTAGGACTTTTTTTTTTTTTTTAAGATCTTTATTTATTTATTTGCCAGAGAGAGAGAATGTGAGAGCACAAGCAGGGGGAGCAGCAGGCAGAGGGAGAAGCAGGCTCCCCACCGAGCAGGGAGCCCGAGGTGGGACTCGATCCCAGCACCCCAGGATCACGACCCAAGCTGAAGGCAGATGCCCAACCGACTAAGCCACCCAGGCGCCCCTATAATGTAGGACTTTAGCAACATTTTTTTTCTTGCTTTTTTCAGTTCGCACTGAGCTTCACACAGTATGTCTTGGGCCATGGTGGCCAGTGGCCGCATTACTCCACCGAAGGCCACAATTCCTGACAGGTGACCCTTTTCCTACTCCTCCAGGGCTCCCTGGGTGCCAGGAGTTGGTCCTTTTCCCTTGTGCCTTCAAGCCTGCTGCTGGTAGCATTTCCCATTGTTGCCACTCCCTAGTTTCCCTTGAACTCCTGCCCACAACTTTGCAAATAACTTTCATCAGTCTCTCTTTTACACTCTTCTCTTTGTTTTTATATATTTCCCTCTAGACAATGTCAAACACAGACAAATAGAGACGAGGATAATGGACACCCACGTACCTACTATCCTGCTTCAACAGTACTTCTTTCACTCCTTCGGAGGGTGCCATTTGTTTCCTGCGGGGATCCTGGCTGATGGAGGGCCTTCCTGTGCATTTTGACTGTTCACTACAGCCTCAACAGGGAGCAACAAATTGGCAGCTTATTTCTGAAAACAACCGAATGGACATTATCGCACAGATTAAAATGGAGGAAGTGGTTTTAGACAACTTCTCTGCCTGTTCCGTGAAACTTGGTTCCTTAACTCCTTTCCAGGCACCCTAGCTCATCTTAAACTGGGCTTTGTTTTGTACACAGTACTACAGAGAAGGGACACATTTGGTGCTGTCTAAAATAAGTGAATCACATTGATCAACAACATTTATTCCCACAAATTAATAAATGCTTTATCTTTTCACTCATAAGACAAAAGGAAACACTTGGGAAGAATTTTTTTTTTGTGAGGGAGTCCTTTTAATGAGAAGATTGATTGTGTGGTCATAGATAAGCAACCTATCTGTTTTCTACAGTTTCATGAAAATAATTTTGTCATTAATGAGATTTGCTAGTAAGGCAGAAAGGTCATATCTATAAGGATAGAGTCATTTGTAATATGAGACCCTGGTCTCCTTTCTCATCAAGAGAACGAATCATTTCAGATTTAGTCTCTTTGCCAGTAGATACAATAAAAGGAATATACAATTTTATGAATTAGTATTTGGAAATAGACTGTTTTTCATCATGACCCATCAGGGGTCCATAGAATTGTCTAAATCAATAGGAAGCTAGAGAAGGAAGAAGTAGGGAAAGAACTAATTTTATCGAATGCCTTCTTTATATCATAAGTGCTCTCAGCTTTATTATCAGTGTAATCCTCGTAGTAATCCTAGGAGGTAGATGTTATTATTCCTGTGATAGACAGGAGGGAAGTGAAGCTCAAGGAGGATAAAATGCTCCAAAGCCCACAGCTATAACAGCCACTATTTACGTATTGCCATGTTTGATTCTATGGGCAGCACTTTACAGCCTGTGAAATTTAGCCTATACCCATAATTCAGATAAGGTGGCTGAAGCATCTTGCTCCACAGTCACATAGATGAGGACTGGCAGGTTAGAATTCTGAGTCAATCCTGGCTGATTTCAATCCTTACTATTCTTACTACCGTCTGTTGGCTCCCAAGGGAGATGGGTACGCTGTTATAATTTCTTTTTCCATCTCCAGCTTCTCTTCTCCTTCACCAGTGTCCATTCAATCATTCTTTGTTAGATCTTTCACTTTGATAAAGGACACGAAAGCAAATGTGTGCAGACAGGTCCTTTGTCATCATATTTCATTGCACAATCAGTCTCAACAGTGGGCCTGTTCTTTCCTTGCTCATTTTGTTGTCTAACATAATTTTCTCCTTTCATTGTCTCCAGTCATTTGCACTCAAGTACTCCTAAAATATTTTAAGAAGCAATAAATTCCTCACCACATTTCTAAGTTGATGCCTAAGATTCTTTATCATGCTAAAAGAGGTGTAAATATACGTATAAATTCCAATAATGACATTTAAAAATAAGCTGTCAAATCACTATTTAAAAACTCTCTAGTAGAATCTAAATAATATAACAGTTTGATGCCCCATCATACATTGTAAGTATACATAAATAAGTTCTTCTTTACCTGTAGGAAATTTTCCTGTTTGTTTTTCTTCTTGAAATTATATTTCCATTCCACTTCCTAATATATCTTTATACTTCAAAAATTTCATGAATCACATACTTCTATGCAATGAAAATATGTCAATAAAGGGAAATAATTTTAAAGTTTTGTGACCATAAGGCTCTAAGTATTAGAAAATTCTACACAATTTCTCAAAATAGCATAAATGCATTACAAGTATTGATGAATAATTACTAGATATAAAATGTAAAATTGTATTGGGATTGTGGTTCTTAATGAGATGGGTAAAGTCTTTCTCCCCAGATATCCAGGGATAAATATAACAGGCTTCAGCATTAATGATGAATGTAGGATATGTAGGTAACAAGTCCTAAGAAACTCTTCACCTAAATAAGTAAATAGGAACAATAGAGGTTTGTGATAGCAATAGGACTCAATTCTTTGAATTCTTCTCAGTTCTATGCCAAAATTTTCATAGTAATCTATCATCAAGATTAGTTTTAGTAATTTCTCATCTGACAAGTCAATTAGGCATCCTTCCCTTTGTGGAAAACGGAGAATTGGAGTCCATCTGACTTGCAAAAGGATTAATTACCCTATCATTAGAGTCATTCATTCCCCCTTTCTTGAGCACCCTAAAGGTTCTTCTGACCCAGGCAATGACTTAGTAGGTTTGGGAGGAGTGTGAGGTATGCCTTTCTATCATCAAGTGATACAAGAAAGGTGACTGCAGAGGAGAGAGGAAAGGAGAGACAGCCTAATAGGAGCTTTCTTGTGTCATTCCATTTTAGGAAAGCTTATCTGAAACAATCCATGGCCACTTATTCCCTTCCTCACCCCCACCCCCAGCTCCAGAAGACCACATACCTCCCCTCCCCCAGTGGATCCTGTTCTCTTGCATTTGTTTTTCAAGCCTTTGCTCATTTGGCCCTTAGCACTTGGCACTGGTGATAAACGCTGTGACTGGCTTTTTTTTTTTTTTTTTTAATTTATTGAGAGACAGAGAGAGCATGAACAGAGGGAGGAGCAGAGGAAGAAGGAGAAGCAGACTTCCCACTGAGCAGGGAGCCTGATGTGGGCCTCCATCCCAGGGTCCTGGGATCATGACCTGAGCTGAAAAAGAAGATACTTAACTGACTGACCCACTCAGGCTCCCTGTGGCTAGTCTTTTATGTGTCCTGTGAAATGGGTCTTTTTCCTTCCCATCTTTAGTACACATTGTCTTAAAATTTTAAGCTCTTCCAAAGAGCTCCCCTTAGGGCCTTGTAAATAGGGCAACTATATGAGCACAGATATTTATCCTGGCCAATCCATTTGGAAAGAAAGAAAGAAAGAAAGAAAGAAAGAAAGAAAGAAAGAAAGAAAGAAAGAAAGAAAGAAAGAAAGAAAGAAAGAAAGGAAGGAAGGAAGGAAGGAAGGAAGGAAGGAAGGAAGGAAGGAAGGAAGGAAGGAAGAAAGAAAGAAAGAAAAAAAGAAAAGGAAAGGAAAGAAAGAAAGAAAGAAGGAAAGAGAGAGAGAGAAGGAAGGAAGGAAGGAAGGAAGGAAGGAAGGAAGAAAGAAAGAAAGAAAGAAAGAAAGAAAGAAAGAAAGAAAGAAAGAAAGAAAGAAAGAAAGAAAGAAAGGGAAGGAAGATCCCAAATACTCTGGAAGATTCAGAGGGGATTTTACATTATAAGAGGTTGAACCTGTATAGAGGGGCTGTACATCAGGCGAGTTATTCAAGCCTCTTAGACTTACACAGATATTGATTGGTTGCCTCCATTCAACATCTACTCCTCACTTTCCCCAGCAAGAACACCTCCAGCTCCTTCTCAGTTGTATGGCTTTGGTGGTTGATGCCATCTCAGCTCTGCAGTTAAGACCTGGAATCTGATGTTCCTGGCTGTAGGAATTAATTAGTTCAAGATAGCACATAATTCAACCCAAGAGATTTTGCCCATGTTTCTTGAGAGAAAGAAAACATTTAAAAAATTTTAAATATATGTTTTGACAGATGGTCCTGACAGAGATGCTTTCTTTGCTGCTGGACACGAGTGAAGAGAATTAGCTCCAGGAATCTCTGGTAGCCGTCTTTGAACCACAAGGGAGAGGTCTCTTAAACATTATTTGTTTGTAGTGTAATTTCCTTTTCCATCTTGAGCTTCTCAGAGCTCTTGGCAGAGCCAAAAAATGGAGAGGAAAAAAAACCTGGGAACTGGTCATGGTCATTTGATCTAGAATCAGCCTCTCCCTGATGTGGGTAAATTCCCCAATATTCAGTTATGTGAACCAGTGAATTTTTCTTATTGCTTGTTAATCTGAATTGAGCTTCCTGTTACTTGCTACATAAAAAGTAGTAATTAGGGGGCACCTGGGTGGCTCAGTCGTTAAGCGTCTGCCTTCAGCTCAGGTCATGATCCCAGGGTCCTGGGATCGAGCCCCACATCGGGCTCTCTGCTCGGCCAGGAGCCTGCTTCTCCCTCTCCCACTCCCCCTGCTTGTGTTCCCTCTCTAGCTGTCTCTCTCTCTCTCTGTCAAATAAATAAAATAAAATCTTTAAAAAAAAAAAAGTAGTAATTAATTTAATCACTACTGTAATCAGAATATCTCTGCTTTTTTTTTTTGTTAATCATTTTTTTTTTCACAAATTGGGGGACTAAGATATACATGGTTTAAAGAAAGGATACCATCGTTTAAGAAGATTGAAAAGCGGCAGGCTTAGATTTCCATTCATTTCAGGAAAGAGATATTGGTGTTTGTACGGGTCAACGTACAGCACCTCTCTTTTCTCTATGTGATCTCCAAAGACGTTGAGATCTAGATCAGAATGTCAGCATTCTTACTGATGGAGCTGCTGTGGTCAGAGCTTAGCTGTATCATCGTAGTGGGCTTCCTAATACTTTAGGCCTGAACTGGACTTCACACTCAGCCACAGACACTGAACCAGCACAGGCCTGTTCTTGTAAAACTCCTGACAAGGGCATGCAGACAGATAAACGCTCAGTAGATAAGCTGGCTTCCAAGAAGAGGGAGAAGCGGGGTGGGGCTTGGCTTCAGCATCCAATGTCTTATGCCAATCAGCATGTCAATCCTCTGATCTAGAAGGAAAAGGGAGGGGCAGGGGCTGAAAGTCAAGAAAGCAAACATACAAAAATATGTAATCAGAATTGTAGCAAATACAGGGAGGGAAACAAACAAGGCCTTGCGTAAAAAAAACAAATGAGTGAGGTTGCTTTAAAATGTGTAAGCTGGAAGGCTCTCTGAGATGACATTTAAGTTGAGACTTGAAGGATGAAAAGGAGCCTGTCATTCAAATGAGAGGGGGAGGTTGGAGTCAGGGAGCATTCCAGGTAGAGAGATCAGCAAGTACAAAGGCCCCAAGGTGAGGAAGAGTTGGTGGGGAGAGTTAGGCAGGGGCTGAACCATGTGGAGCTGTGAGTGACAGTCAGGTGTTTGGATTTCATTCCGAGTGCAGCGGGAAGTTGTGAAACCATTGAACAGTTTAAACAGGAGAGTCAGGAGAGTGACATGAACTTTCATGGCTTAAAAAGATCCCTTAGGCTGTTCTGAAAATGAACTGGGCAGGCGCCAGAGCAGAGACAGGGAAGTCAGTTGGGAGGATATAGCAATAGTCCAAATGAGAGATAATGATGCTCTGATTTAGAGTAGTAGCGGTGGAGATGGACAGAAGAAGAGTCTGAGACATTTTAGAGATAGGTTAGACACAGTTTGCTCGTGGATTAAATATAGTTAATTATATTATAAATATGATTAAATATGGGAAGTAAGGGGCATCTTGATTTTTGGTTAGAGCAAAATGTAATCCTTCCTTCCTTCCTTTTTCCCCTTTTCTTCTTCTCCTCCTTTTTCGTCTTCTTATTACTATTCTTACTACTCTTAGTATGAGAAGATTACACCAGTATTTTATTTGTAGACATGTTAAGTTTGAGATACATAGCTGAGACTCAACTATATGGATGTATGAATTTGGAATTTACATTTGGGGTATACATTTGGGAATTATCAGCAATTAGATGGCATTTAAAGCTATGGGAATGATTGAAAGCCTCTCCAGAGAGAGTAGATAAAGAGAGAGGCCAAGGAATCAGAGGGTCCTCAACATTTAAAGGTCTGATAAAAACAAAGGGGCTAGAAAGGAGATTGAGAATGAGTAGCCGATTGGATAGGTGGGAAACCAGAGGATAACATCATGGAAGTCAAGAGTATTTCAAGGAGGGAGTGGCCAACTCTACCATGTGTACCCCTGAGAACACCATAAGATAGGACAGAGCGGTCTCCTGTGTTTGGTTCCATGGAGGTCTTGCCCTTGACAAGAGTGATTTCAGCAGGGGAAAGAAACCTAACTAGTGCACTGAAGAATGAATGGGAGATGAAGAAGTGGAAACAGAGTTGTGGGCAACCCTGTGGAAAGATTTTGCTATGAAGGGGAGTAGAGAAGCTATAAAGTTTAGGGAAGGAAATGTGGGGACAAGGGAGGTGTGTATGTGTGTTTAGAGACAAGAGATTTTAAAACTGTTTGTTGCTTATGGAGATGGTCCAGTAGGGTAGGAGACAGTGACATGCAGGAGAGAAAGGTTAAGCAAAGCAGTGAGGTCCTTGAGAAGAAGATTGAATCCAGAGCATAACAGTAGAGATTGAAAATTGAGTGGAAGGGCCTGTCATCTACCTGTCAGGACAGAACAAGGAGGTGGGAGCAGAAGTGAGCAGAGATGAAGGAAGGTCCATTTGATCCTTCTGTTTTCTTACTGATGTTCAAGACCTTGGATAGAGTAATATGGTTATATCATCCCCGGTAAGTCCCATGTCTTATAATAATATTTTTAATGCTGCCGTATGTAAATCAAAATATGGTTTAATTTATAACATTGTGAGACTTTTCACAGATACAAATTCACAAAGAAAAACAAATTTCTTGGTCAAAGCCTATGTGTAAATTTTTTCACTAAAAGTACATTCTGATTGACCATATTTTGAATTAAGTATAAGAGAACCAAGAGCATTCTATAATTACGATAATAGATATGATTCCTGACATTTGGAAGCTGCTTGCCTGAGTAGACCAGACAATTAGAATTTCACATGAAATAGGCTGAGGTTCAAACCTATATGGGACTGAGTACTTCGCACAGAGAAAAATTTCCATGGCGGAGAACTGCATTCTTAACCTGTGCCAGGTATTTAAAAAACCTGCTGTTTTGGTCATAAGGGAGCATAGGGAAGGGGTGGAATGGGTGAGGAGAGAAACATTACGGATGTT